GGGGGGGGGGTACTTGTATACTGTTATTCTTTGTAGTTAAAACACGTACGCGTATATCGAAAATCCCACAATGCGGACAAATGTCCCCATTTCACCCATTTCGCTATGTGCGTGCTAGGCTGTGTGTCATTGTCCACTCCACAGATCGAGGCAGGGAACCCCGACCTGACACCTCTGGAGGTACTTCGCACTCCAGATTTCTACCTGCTCTGGGTGGCACTGGCCGTAAATCATTACGGTTATATCATCAAAAACAACTACTACAAGGTTAGTCACAAGTAACGCTTTAAGGACACATAATATTATGTCCTTAAGTAACATCGATGTATAGTTAATTTTGATTTTGTGTATGTATCTATGTATGAATTTAAATCTATTGTAAAACAACCCCCCCCCCCCCCCCCCCAACCCCACGGTGCCACTGACTGAAGTGTCTTTAGGTCCTCCCCAAACCCCAAATGAAGATCAACAAAATGAGAATTTATCTCTTTATTTATCTGAGTCCTGCCTGCGTTACATAGAAAGACAGAGGATAAAATGGTTTGGCCATCTGTTACGCATGTCACCTGACCAGCCAGCCTCGACAGCTTACAACACCAAGCACTCAGGCTATAAAGGAAGAGGAAGGCCACGCAAAAGGTGGAACGAAGGTGTCAAGGAAACCCTAAGAAAACATAACATCACAACTGTAAGAGCTGCAGAGCTGGCCTTCCATAGATAACTGCATCTCCCCTCAACGCTTAACGGCAACAGAGGATGAAAAAGTTAAAGTAAAGTAAGTATTTATCTTTTTGTTTATCTCTTGATTTATCTCTTTATTTATCTCTTGATTTATCTCCCTAATGTCAGGAGTTCGGCCAGCTCCGGATCAGCAACGACCATTTCCTGACGACAACAGGCACACTGGCCACTGTGGGCGTGGCTTTGGCGAGACTGCTGTGGGGGCTGGCCACTGATTGGCTGGGTACTAAAGTAGGTCATCTGTGTTGTTGTTGTTGGTGGTGATGAGGTTGTTGTTGTTGTTGTAGGTGGTGGTGGTGGTGATGTTGTTGTGGTGTTGCTGTTGATGCTTATGTTGTTGTGATTGTTGTTGTTGTTGTTGTTGTTGTTGTTGTTGTTGTTACTGCTGTTGTTGTTGTTTTTGCTGTTGCTGTTGTTGTTGGTAGTAATGTTGTTGTTGATGATGATGATGATGATGATGATGATGATACTTGTTGTTGTTTCTGGTGTTGGCAGTGCTGCTGGTGCTGTTTCTGTTGTTGTTGTTGTTGTTGTTGTTGTTGTTGTTGTTGTTGTTGCTGTTGTTGTTGATGATGATGATGATGATGATGATGATGATGATGATGATGATGATGATGATGATGATGATGTCAGTGTAAATTGTTTGTTGACCCCCTCTCCCTCCCCCTAAAAAAAAAAGTCAGATGAACAGAAACTAATTTCTTTCTTTCTTTTCCCCCTTTTAATAAACAACAACAACAACAACAACAACAACAACAACACACCACCACCACCACCACCACC